AAATAACACAATAATTTTTAATTATAATTACAATATAATACAATTTAATACAATCACAATTACAACTGCAATCACAACTGCAGTCACGGGGTTTCGTAGCAATACTAAAGGCTGGCTAAGACGTTTCCGCCATGGTTTACTCCGAGGTCAAGCACCATATACTCGGCAAAGGCAAGCCAGAGTGCGCCGTGTGCTTGAGCGAGTTCGAGGACCACGAAACGCTAAGATTGATTCCCAAATGCAACCACGTTTTCCACACGGATTGTATCGATGTGTAGTTAGCGTCCCACACGACATGCCCCGTCTGTCGAGCTAACCTCGTGCCGCGAGCCGGTGACCCAGTGGCTCAACCCATTGAGTTTTTATGTGCCGAGTCAGACCTGGAGGCTCAAGACGTAGTCATGGAATCAGAACCAGAGGATGAACAGAGATTAAATACAAACACCGTGGTGGACGCAACGGCGCCGACAGAAGTAATTGACGGAAATCAAACTTTGAATAGGAGCCACACAAGTGGTTCAGGATCAAGTTGCACTCCAAAATTCCCTCGTTCACACACCACCGGCCACTCTTTAGTCCAACCGGGTGTGAACACCGACCGGTTCACTTTACGGCTACCAGTTGACGTCCGCAAGCAGGCGATGAACCTGCAGCTGAACCGGACCACCAGCATGATGATATTACCAAGAGAGGGGAGCGCAGGGAGCGCACGGAGGGGGTACCGAACCGGCGGCGAAGGGAGCAGTAGAGGAAAGCATTATAGGCTGTCTGATAAACCGGACCGACTAGGCAAGTCAGACCCGTGGGTGTTTAGCATGACACCGCCCTTTTTTAGCAGAGCCTCCTCCATTAAGTCACCCAAAGTAGCACCGAATTCTGCCGAGGCAACCTCTGCTTTGCCGGCTGCAACAGTGGTTGACTCTGTTCGGCCACCGTTCTAATGCGGTTAATATCTTTTTTTTTTTTTGAATTTTTTCCCACAATTTTAGAAGTTGTTTTCAATAATGCTGCGGACTTTTGTGTCCATATGTAAATTGTCTATACAATTTTTTTGTTTCTTTCTTCTTTAATTCTTTTCGTTTATCTTGAATTTGAATCTGAATTTTGAAGGGTGGCCCTTAGTAGGAATATTATGGCTAAAAAAATTGAACTGAAAATGATTTCCTCAATCGTATTCAAAAGTGGGAAATTTAGGAATAAGTTTAATCTAGTGGGTTGAAATTTTGTGTTATATTCCATGGAAGCAGCCAGTAAGGCAAAGTCAAAAACTAAATTATCTTTGTTGCAGGAAAAAAAAAAAAAGGATTTTGACAGGAAATTAAAACTGAAAATATCCTATAAGAGAACAGCATTTTCAAATCTCAAAACGAGACAATAATTTATTGTTATTGCCAACCACATAAGCAGTTATTTACTTGCTTATTATAATCAAAATTTTATTTCGAAAAGTGTAAAAACTATTCAATTTTTAGGCAAAACCCTTCTTAAGCCCCTTGACTTATCCAAAATTAATATTTAAGCCCTTAAACTAAAAATGATGCAATTTAACCCTTCAACTCCGGAACGGGTGCAAATAAGCCCTTACAACTAAAAGTCCAAATAGTTGTGATCTGACATGCAATGAATTTGTTTGTTCTTTCCCTTCCACTATTCTACATAGATGTAAATACTGATATAGTAGCACTACTTCATGTAGATGTTGATGAATTTTTTTTATTATGTTAGTTTTGATAATTTTCTATTATATATTTTAATAAAATTTAGAGTTTAATTTAGACATTTAGTAGAGTTTTGTTGTATATGTTAAAAAATGTCATGAATTATGAACTCTGGTTTCTTTATCTTCTTTTATAATGTATGAATCATGAATCATGTATATGGTATCTTCAACTTTTATTAATGAAAATGAGATATATAATTATTTTACAATTAAACTCTAGATTCTGATTTATTTTAAAAAAATTCTATTAAAAAAGTATGACTGAATTATCAACAATCTTTAGGTTCAAGTGAAAGGAATTCGTTTTTCTTAAATAAGATTTTAAATTTAAATCTTATAAATAGAGAGATAGATATTAGAAGCATTTTCTTTTTTATGAGATCTAATTTGAGTCAGTTTCAAATTAATTAAGACAAAGAAAAGTACCAAAAAAATAGGATTAAATTAAAAATACAAGTTTTTGAAACTAAAAACTACTTAGAGTATCAACACAATAATATAGGTATTGGCACTTCTGTTACAAGTTTAACAAAACACATAGTTGAAGGGCTTATTTGCACCAGTTGAGGAGTTGAAAGGCTTAATTGTATCATTTTTAGTTCAAGGGCTTAAATGCTAATTTGGGCCAAATCTAGGGCTTAAATATGGTTTTTGCCCAACTTATATATATATATATATATATCGAGTTCCGATAGAATTGTTACATGAGAGACTTATAATACTTAAAGAAATGTTATTGCTAATTATCTAAGCAGTTAATTAATTATGAAACCCATAATAAAAGAAATTTTTTTTTTAA